CCCACTGACTGTAATTTCAGAAAAAGACGTTTGTGTGGGACCTTGTCAAACGCCTTCGAAAAGCCGACGAAAATCGCATGCGTTTTGGAAAGTGTATGTGAATTTTCAAGAATGTCTGAAACGAACACAAATAGCTGTGTTTCGCACGACAGCATGCGTCGAAAACCGTGCTGGTTTACAAATAACAAATTGTTTACGCACAAGGGGTTCATAATATTAGAAAAAAGAATATGTTCTAAAATCTTACAAGGTACACTGTCAGCGACATAGGACGATAATTGTCAACGCTTTCCTTGGACCCCTTTAAAAATTGGGATGACGTTTGCGATTCTCCAGTCTACCGGAATGATGCCCGTTTCCAAAGACTGCTCAAAAAGCTTTGCCAGTAAAATACATAATATATCCTTGCAAAGCTGTAGTAGCTTGGAGGTGATTTTGTCCGGACCTGGTGCTGAACTTAGTGGAAGGTTTGATATAATGGCAGCGACGCCCTCAAAAGAAATAGCAATTGTCCCCATAGCACTCGAGATAACATAATCAAATAAAGTTATGGGCAATGGGTGAGTTTCTATGGTGAAAACAGAACTATATTAAAACGATTGCACAACTGTTCTGTGCAATTGTGGCTCAGTTCTCCTATATCAGTGGAAAGTTCTTTAGAGACTTTCTATGCTGACTAATAATAAATATTATTATTAATATCCTGATGTTACCTGGGTGCCTGGTTTGCCTTCAGGAATATCATCCGCACAATATCTAGATTTTGTTACCCTCCTCCAAACAAGTAATTGAATTCTAAACAGCGCCGAACTGCACAGACTGTGTCCTCAAAACAAATGGCGTTTTGATTGGCAACAGTGCCGAACTGCACAGATCGCGTCCGCAAAACAAACGGTATTTTCAATGGCAACAGCGGAAGCTCTGACGTAATATCATGTAAGGAGAGCCGAGAGAGCGCTCGGCTGTTCCGCTCCAGCTCTCCGTTCGTGTGTGTCAAGCGCTAATTTAACTCTGTATTTCCTCCTCTCACAGCTGAGGTTTTCAGCTGTGAAAGCTGTTTTTCCTCCTCTCCTCGCAGCTTGCGATACATGAGGTAACTCTCTGCAGCAAGATCAACTACACGTGGTCCTAATCTGGTGCTGTTGACGCCGAGTCTAATTCTGACAACTGTCTGAGTGAAATAACTTCGTTCCAGGAAATACAAAACCTACAGTAGTGAGGCGAACACGGTTCTTGGGCGTTGTGGTTATCATATCACCTGCCAACCTCGTCATGTTACGGAGAGCACATTTCCATAGAAGAAATTGTATGAATATGTCCAATAAACATTTAAGAACATTTATTATATGGCATAAGTCATAACCTTTGTAAGTTGTCACATGTTTATAAAAGAATATTATAAGACATTCGTTCCCTATGGGTCTTCATTTTATGAAGCGAGAAGACACAATCAAGAAGGTCATGTTGCTTCAGGTTGAAGATGGAGGATTCGTAAGAACGGGAAAACTTGCTCAGCCTGAAGGCAGCTTCTTCCGAAAAATGATGGTGGCGTCATTTATCTTTCCCAGTTTATGAATCATGCCGGGCCTTTTTCTGGAACGTGAGGTTTGCTCAGTGTGGGTTCCATTTAGTGCACTAAAAATAATGGGCCAGCTCATAGCCAGCCGGCAACGGCCAGGCGGCGCCAGCAGGGTGAGAGCGCACGGTTATACCCTCTCTCGTTGTAAGTCGGCAAAGGGTGAACGATAAGCCCCACATTGCGTGCCCGAAGGCTTTGAAATGCGCGACGTATACGAGCGCAACGCACACATATTGGAGCATGACGCAGCGAAAAGCCTGATACTTCTTCGGAGTTGAGGCGCGCTCCGGTGATACGCAGTCACGTTCCGATTGGCCCGCCAGGGCCGTAGCTTCCGCTCTACTGGCACGCTACGCGATCACGGCTCCCTGGGATACCCAGTATTTCTTGCTTCAGACACTAGGCTAAGCGGCGCCACCAGAGTAAAAGCTCACGTTTGAACAATGCAGCCGCCACTCCCACGGGTACCCAATATTTCTTGCTTCCGTCGCTAGATGGCGCCAAACCAAACAGCACTGCAGGTTGCCTATTGGGATATGAGCCCTCACTTTTTTCTCGTTGTAATTTCTTTTTGTGCGCGTTCACAAGCTGCAGTCGAGTTCTTTCACTTGTGTTCAAAATAAAACAAGCGTCTCTTTGCTAGGATGTGAAAAAAAAAAGAAAAAAAGGAAACAGGTATCTTTTTATTAAAAAGTTACCTGTTTCCTACACATTCAGTATTATCTATTTGGACGTTGTACATTTCACGGGGGGTATACGTTACGGCTTACAAGCGTGTTAAACTATTTAATGGGAACGGAATTAGATGAGAACGTGCCCAACCGCTGAAATTTTGGTTGGGATGTTTCGAAAAAGTTCTAGCGAGAAGGTCTAAAAGAAAAATGGGTCGAAATGCGAATGAGACGTCGTCTTGAGGTAACACCCGTTAGTACTGGGAGCATACGTTGCCACTCTGAAGCATGCTTCGTTATTAAGCCCTTGACAACTTAAAGGGCGTGTCGAGTTCCTAGCATATTATCGCTACTTAGTCAATGAGGTTGCAACATCCGGTAAGAACACCGAAGAAGGAATAACAAAATCAAGAAGCATTAACATAATAGGCCACGCCCCACATTTCTTAAGCTGTCAGTGACCATAGACCACCTCAACTCTCTGACGCGCATGCTGTCGGCAATGCGCATGCGCAGATGCTTCGCCTCACGCAAATCTGGTTTCTGCGCAAGCGCATTTCCCACACCCACCTGCGGGCAGAAGCGGGCTTGTTTTTGTAAACAGCTTGTGTTGGTCGATAGACGCATAGCCTCTTCCATACTCAGAAAGCCTGGCAGTTCGACTAAGCCAGAGTGCCCGGTCGCGGATTTGGAGCGCGGGGATCCGAAACACACTTGTTCGCTCGGGAAAAGTGTGTTTTGGCGTCTCGCCGCAGCGGGCCGCCAGCCACGTGGATCTCCTCTCATCCGTCGTCTGCCGCTCCACCTTTTCCATTTCGGTGGCCGCTTCTCGTGGCGATCTGCCATGCATTGTCAGTATATGGGAGGCTATGATAGACGTAACGGCATCGCTGAGAAAAGCGAAGGAGAAGTAGACGAATTGCACAAACAGAGGCGTTCGCTTACAACCGAATAACCGGAAAAAAGCACACGCGTAGAATAACAAGAGAAGAATCCACCATGAGTACGACTCACGGTCCGTACGCGTGAAACGCACTGGGAACCCTAGTTCCCCGTCATATATAGGCCAATCGAAAGGGGCACCGCCAACAGACGCGCCCATTTACACCTTGATTTGAAACACGCCTCTATATGATCCCGTTTACCCGTTGGTGGCGATGCCACATAAAGATTGTGGTTTCCTCCAACAGTGGAACACGCGTCCCGCCCACACCTGTCGCGGCGTGTTGCTAAATCCTAAGAAGGTGATGATTTCCCTGCCAAGGTGGATTTTCTTGCGCGCTATTGACGCGCTCCGACTGGTTCATTCACTTTGTCAACTTGTATTTCATTAAGCCGTGGATACACTAATGACAGAATCTGCGGAAGACATGCCTCAAGCATAAGCATGTTTGCTTCTTACATATCCACGCTTTGAAGATGTCCGCAGACAGTGTTTTGTGTGGTCAATATCAGTGTGTCGAACCGAAAAAAATACGGGTTCGGTTACGGTTCAGGTAAATTTATTTTGTTCCGGTTCAGTTCCGGTTCGATTAATTCGATCCGCGAACCGGTTCGGAAATTATAAATGACAAATTGCAACATCAAAATAAATTACAAATAAAACATCTGAAATCAGCACATACGAAACGGGATACATCGTAGTGTAAGGCTCAGGGATTTCTACCAGGAATGGTTTCTTTATGTGCACTTAAAGGTTACCTCACCGACGTTTACGCATTCGGACTTCATCTAATTGGGTCCGACGCAGTAGCTGTAAAATCCGCGACTTCCTTACACACCCACTTACAAGTAGAACTCGCTAACTATCCCGCCACCTCGGCGTGTAAGCAATTGAAGGAACAGTGGGGAGAAAATACAGCTTTCTTTATTTGAACTAGCCTTCGGTAACTCAAATTAGACCCTTAAAGAAGTTTTCATTATACAAGATACGGAATATGAAAAACACTTCACCGAACGCAACGCCAGAAGGACGTAATAGGATAAATATTAAAATAGAAGAGTTCGCTGTCTCACAAATATGTTAGCTTCTAAGTGCCTATACGAAACCGGATGCATTATTATCAAACTCCACAGCCTTTCTTTTCTCATTCCGATGGAAGCAAGCTTCAAGAACTCGCGCGTTCTAGAAACGTGTTATGAAATGAGCACACAGCAGCATTTAGGATTTACGAGATTGTAGGAAAATAAAATCCCGTGACACGATTTTTTTTTTTTTTTTTGCACAGCCTTCTATTTCTCTTTTTTCCGTGCAAGCCGCGACCAGCGCAATACTGGTTCCTATGACAAGATTCATGGATGCAGCGTTTGTCAAGATTCATGGATGCAGCGTTTATATTCCTAAGACTGAGTGGAGAAGAAAAATATGTAAGCGAGGTGTGTGTCAGTTGACGGCACTTAAAGAACAAATGGCATTGATAGCACATTCATTGTCAACAGCGCGTGGCCGAACCGTTTTGACATGAGCCGGTAACCGTTATTTTTTTTCCGGTTCAGTTCCGGTTCGGGTTCATCGCGATAACAATATAACGGTTCGGGTTCGGGTTCAGTTCCGGAAGAAATACCGGTTCGGTTCCGGTTTTCGGTTCGGTTCCGGTTCGACACCCTGGTCAATATAACAGTCATACGAGGGAGACCTCGGTCAGCGCGTGCGCAGGCCGTCCCTCGCACGATGCATTAACATTGTGGCCGCGGTGCCACTGAATGAGATCATCCGACCGGACGACGTGTCCATCGTCCGACCAACGCAGGAGGCTCCAACGGCCTGGGACGCTCGCTGTGCCTGGAGCTGGCCCGGCGGGGCGCCCGCGTGGTCATCGCGTGCCGGACGCGGCTCCGGAGGGACTCGACGGCCTTCTTCCTGCGCGAGAAGACCGGCAGCTTCAACGTGCGCGTCATGTACATGGACCTGACCAACCTCGAGTCAATCCGGGAGTTCGCCAAGGAGCTCATCGCCTCCGAGGAGAGGCTAGACTGCATCGTCAACAACGCAGGTATACACGTGCGTGCCACCACACGGGCAAGTCTTCTTTTTCTTTTCAAAGCGGCGCCGTTTTGAGTGTCCCCACAACCTCCCAGATAGTAACTCGTTAATTAGGCCGAAGTACTATGTTATTCTAGGTCATCTAGCGAAGGCCAGCGCGGGTTTGCAGATGTGACGCGAGTACTACATCAGCATTCGGCTCGGGCACGGACTTTTCACCTACTGGATACGAGCTCCAGCCGAACGACTGACGCATTGCTCGTCTCCTATCAGCGGCCCGCGCTGGCCTCCGGAAGGTGACGTGGAAAACCCAGTACTAGGGCCTTATTCAAAAGCAAGGCTCTAGCCAAACTTTTCATACTAGAGCCTTATTATCCATAAGGTGTCGATTCCCTTCTCGCTGGCACCTCAATTAAGTGCCGCTTTGTAAGAGCATTATTCGATTATCGGTTATCTTATTGTCCCATAACACGCGAAACTAAAACTTGTAAAAAAAAAAAAAAAAAAAATTTGTTGCAGAAAAAGGTTGTTCGCGTCTAGCCCATATACTTCGCATTACTCGCGCGCCAAAACCACTCTTCTATCGGTATAAAGTAACGAAAATAAAATAATCGTAAAACATTAACGTGCTACAATTAATGTATGCGGCAGCTCTTAATTATACAAATAATCGCTCGCAACAAACTGATACACCCGGCATTGCGCTCGTACATTTGTCGTGGCCGGCGGACTGGTCCAGCAAACAGGCAGTTCTAGCAGCTCTGCCTTTTAGCTTCTCGTTAACCTACAATACGCTAGAGGTCTGGCTATCGAAGAAACGTTCGACTTAAAAAATAACACGGAAGTGACGTCTTCTGATCAATTTAGCGTATGAAAAAAAGGTCATTTCGTGGTCACATCGCTTTAATGCTCCTTGTGTGCGTGCTCTCCTTGGTGGATTCGGAGAGTCCGTCTCATTGGCTTAGGGCATTTGTTCGTTTATCATGTCACAGATTCTTGCAGGTTCCAAAGGTGGTGTCTGAGACCTCATAGCCGGTGGTCGTTTCTGGCAGATGATGGTCGCGAACAAGAAACTTGGGATGAATAAAGAAAGAGGGAAATATGTTTGCTTATATGGAGTGGGAAGGTCGGGTTTCCTCTGCATCGACCATCAAAAACTGGATCACACATTTGTGTTTGACTGTGATCGGCTGCGTTGCAATCACTTATGACTGCTTACAGCTAGATAAGACACTAGTGCCATCCATCGATAGCTACGGAACACTCCCGATCTGCGTATATTTCTTTTTTATGCACAGTTCTTTTATCGTGAATTTGAAGTAATTCTGACAACGTTATAAGTGAGCATTTATTATAAGTAGTGCGTAGAACGTGTTTCTAATTCGGGATGTCGACCCAGAAAGAAGAGTGGTTCGGGATCTCTTCTAGGGACACTTAACTTCAAAAATTAATGAAAAAAGAATTTTAAGCTTCTCAAAAGAACATGAATGTCACAAAAAAAAGTTTTCCCTCAAAAAGAGAGAGAGAACAAAAAATAAAGAAAATATACACAACCCAGGCACGTTGCTGAGATAAAAACTGAGGGCACTTCACGGCGATAGCACACTTGACAACTTCACCTGATCGCAAATTGTTTGAATCTCTCCTGCGTTTTCTGTAAGAGTTGATGCTGAAGTTTAACGCTTATTGTCTTATATTAGAAACACAGGAAATTGCGTTGTAGTATTTGACAGAATCGAGGAGAAAAGGAGGCACAGTGGTCCCCTGAAAGTGTGGCGTACTTCGCAGCCATCCTGACGGGGCGCGACTTTACGGCGGACGGCATCGACCTGATGATGGGCGTCAACTTCGTGGGCCACTTCTTCCTGACGACGCTGCTGATCGACAAGCTGCGCTCAACGCCCGGCAGCATCGCGCGAGTCGTCAACGTGGTCTGCGGGGGCTTTAAGCAGGGACTCGTCTCTGACCTCGAGGACATGGAGGACAAACGCGTGCGCAACGAGTACGACCTCAAGCACGTCTACCGCAGCTCCAAGCTGGGGCTGTTCCTCTTCAACAGGGAGCTGGCGAGAAAGTAAGCTATGGTCTCTCGCTATGTCGTCTGGTACGAGCCTCCGACTTGTGCGTTAACCGTCCTATTCCGTCCATGTACCGGACGTGGTCCAGAAGTGGGACCAAATAACGCCACAGGAGCCGGCGTTTTATGGTGTCGGTTATGTCGCGATCGGTTGCGATCCTTCTGGTTAATCGTAGAAATACTGGCGAAAAAGGAACACGAACGCGAGGATCGCTGTCGCCACGGCGTTCCATCTTGCGTGTGCTTTAGTTTTCGTCGACTGTCCGGCTGCAGAACGACCTGCATCAGAAGATGCGTCTGTCTCAGCCACCTACGCAGCTGTGCACCGCCAGGATCGCGGAAGGCAACAGCGTGACACGTCGATGACGTCATCATGCAGAAATTGAGGAATAGTTTCCGAGAACGCGGTAAACAGACCGAGACGGGCTTCAGGCACCATACATTCGCGGCTCGCACGAGAGTGCCAGACGAGGTTTGTGATTGTGTCCGGTGGCGCAGGTACCGTCCCTTCGACGTGGCCGCCTTCTGCGTGGACCCGGGCCTGGTGGCGAGCAGCCTGTACAAGCACCTGCCGGGCTTCCAGGGCCGCTTCATGAGCGTCCTGGCCAGGGTCATGTTCCGTTCCACCGAGGAGGGAATCCAGTCCCTGCTGTACGCCATCATGGCTCGGAAGCTCGAGGCGGACTCCGGAAAGGCGAGTACTGCTCTTCACTGGCGAGAATGTTTGAGAAACAACTCGCCTCGCTGGTTTACCTAGACCACCACTGAGCGAGTTATGCTCAGAGTGTAGACCCTCCATTCCCCGACTGTCTTGTGGGCGCCACCAATTTGTTGTCTAGTGAATAGCGGGCGCAATCGGTGACAGTTACGTTTCCGGAAAGCGACTTCTTGAGCTTTGGTTATACGATGCCAGAAAGCTCGGGTGATATTGTTTTGTTCTGTCGCGGGTTGTTGTAACGTTTTAACTCGATGGTTCTTGGCACTGACACGCGGCGGCCGTTTCCCAGGTGATCAAAGACTGCCGCGCTTTCGACGTGAAGAACTCCGAGTGGACCGACGAGGTGACCCGCGGCCTGTGGGAGCGCACCGAGGAGCTGATCAGGTCCAAGGGCATCCCGTTCTCGCTGAGCCAGGAGGCCGAGGAAGAAGACCTGGGCGGTGGCATCGCGGCGGCCAAGGTCAACCTTGAGGCCTTCGCTCAGAAGATGCAGGCCGGCGGAGGCAAGCAGGATGGTCAGAACCTCCCGGCGGATGACGAAGAGGAGGAAGAGGAGGACGAGGAGTAGGCGGCCGGGACGGCGCGCCCGCGGTTCGTCCCAGAGGCGCGCTGTTTGGCGGCCCTTCGAAGAACCGAAGCATGGCCGAATTATCCTCGCCCCGACGGAGGCTCCCCGGGCGGCACGGATGTCCCAAGCACGTCCACGGGACGTTCGTAGAACCTTAGGAAATCCAGAGGGCGTCCGCGGAACCATGCGTGTTGCCAGGGACCTTTACAGATCAGGGAAGTAGAAGCTTCGTTGAAAGATCCGTACGTGGCATGAAGGCGGAGCGAAAAACCGGCGGGGCTCAAAACCTTTATCACTCGAACAGCGCACTATGTTCTACAACGGCAAGGATAGCTTCACTAACGTCGTAATTGGTGCACAACACATTTACACTAGGAGCCTCTCCGAATTCCGAAGTAAAACTCGACGACAGATGACAACTTTCGATATCAGCTGCTTCCAGCTCTTAAGCGTAACTAGCGTTTTCTTTTTTTAATTGATTCCGTAATTGATTAAAACTTCGTCTTTAAAGATTTTGAACATGGGTGGGAAGCGGCGGATCTACGTGTTTTTATACTTGCACTACATGGCAATGTCTAAGTGAATGCGTAGAATTCACGCGGCTGTGTACTGTACTGTGGCGAGCATAATGAGTGGTCTGCGTTTTCTACGCACGAGAAGTCGCTTAGCGGAAAAAGCGAGTTGGTCTTGAACTTGGACTTCTCCGAATGCGAGCCAAACGGTGTCGATGGTAGATCTGGCAGTTCGTGTTCTCTGTCTTCGATCGATTTCACTGTTTTAGGCGCCATTCGCCTTTCGTTGTGGCGGCTGACGTCCCCAGCTACGCAATGAGGAGTTTTGGGAGCCTAAATTAAACCGCTGAGAATCCGCCGCTAGTACAACCCTACCGAATAACAATTTTTTTTAGAAGTAGGTTTGAAACTAAAAATAAAGAAAAAAGTGTAGTAAGCTCCATGGAACGCTCGCAACTCGTCCTTTTATTGTGGGCACTTACGACAATTAAACAATAATAACACGCGCGTTGTATTCTTACATTATTGGATTACGATTTTGCCTTGGGGTGCGTAAGTACGCTTTCGTCTTTGGTTTTGTGTGCTATTTCTTAAGAACGTTGCATCTGGTGGTTTAGAAAGTTTTAAATAATTGTAAGAGTACCGTAGAGTGCGAATAAAATAATTGGCCCTTCATTATAAGTAATCCGGACTATGATGACCACTATATATTCCGTCATAACCCCTGAGTTACACGTTAGGGGTCTCTGACTATAACCCAACTGTGCGTTAAATGGGGAACATAGAGAGCGTTCAAGCCGTAACAAGAAGCATTAAAAACTCTCTCAAGCTCGCAAGTTCAACATTACCGCGTCTTGACTAACTCGCTAAGGTGTATCGAACGTATTTATGTTCATGAATGCCCACGAACTTCGCATCATGCCTATAGATGTCACTGTTTGCTATTCATTCGGGCACCCACGTCGAAAGTGAACGTAATGAATCACTCCGGCAGAAGTCAATAGTGACCTTTACAATAGCTATATCACAAGCTGCGACCAGCGGGGGCGAGCTTCCAAATGCACCCTTCGAAGTGGCGGCACTGTCGAGCTCCCGCAAGCAACGCCGCGATGGCCAAAACGACTCCTCTAAAACTCGCTAATGTGCCGCCTTCCACATGTCGTCGTGCGTGGCCCCAACATCCTCAAGCCTTGTGATTCCGAAGAACTCCTCTCGCCATTTTTTCCGGCCTGACTCTCGTGTGAATGAACGTCTGGCCGCTTTTGCCAGCGTCCTGTTATCCGTGTGTCCGCCCTCCGCCAACACCTCCCGATAGCAAGGCCGTAGCGTTAGATTTTCTACGTCACGTCCCGGAGGCCGACAGATCGGTTCGCAAGAGCTGCGTCAGAGTTCCACTTGGACCCGCGTTCTCACCGATCGAACACGAGACCCAGCAAGCGCGCTGACGCAGCAATCGCGTTCAACGCAGCAATCGCGTCCAACGCGTGCCCCATAATGGCCTCCACTAGGTGACGTAGACAAATCGGGCACCAAGGCCTCGTTTATATTGGAGGTGTTGCCTGCACGCGAACGCGAAGCAAGAGGAGTGACGGCGAGATTCCGCTGCACGAGAGAGTTTTAGTAGATCGTTCGGGTGCCTCCGATAACGATACTCCGCCGATGCCTTTGCGCGTGCATCCCATCGCTATCGCGTGCCGTCACCGGAGTTATCGGGGAATGGTCTACTAAAACTCTTTACTGACAGGACAAGAAGCGCGGACCGTCTCTATCGGAAGGCCGGCCTCCAGCACGTGTCCGTTGACTTCCGCCACGCTTCGGCTGCGTGTGAAAGCTCGACGCGCACGAGACGCCAAAAGGTTCTTGAAAGGGGGAAGCTCGCGCTGGAGGCGGGACAACTGAAGGACGTATCCCTTCCGGTCTCGTGCAGTCTGTGACTTCTAGTCCTTCCCGCATCCTCAAGACCGCCCGTAGCAACACGTGTCTTCTGCTCCAAGCAACATTTCAAGCAACTAGAGCAGCGAATAAAGAAACCTACAATACATGGGGTCTGCTTCAATGTACTTTGCAGGACACCGGCTATTCAGGCCGGTTTAAACATTTGGGACTGCATGCTTACGACCGAGTGCATTACAACCTCTTCTGATATCTTACGACGAGAGAACACGCTAGCACTCTGGCGCCACCTATAAGGTCAGCCCGGAACTGAATTTCACTAGAGCGAAAGTTTTGCACTGATCTCTGAGCATCAAAGGTACGTATTCTCATGGGAAATGATCGTTTACAACATGGCCAAAAGTGTTTCGAGCTAACAGTAAATGAATGGTGCGAAAAAAAGGTAATATAGAGAATTAGCGAGGGTTTCACGCCTACCCGATAGATGGCGTCAGTGTGTTAGTTTCGATCAACTTTTCGAAGCAAAAGCAAAAGTGACTATATGCAGTTACTCTACTTGTATCATAAGTGATCACACTCGGTCGTAAACAGACGCGACTGTATAGACGAGTATACTCTATACATATTAAGGTATTTAGCGCACAAAGTAGAGAGAACAACAGGACAGAAAAGAGTGCCACTCACAACTATGTTTACTAACAAGAAAAGAGAGAAAAACAAAACGAATGATCCACCGCAGACTTGTGGATCTACCACCAGCCCCCAAGAATAATAGTGGCTCGTTCATCCAGGCTCGTGTGGGCCCTTCATTGTCTATTGAAGGAATTCTCTTTCCTTGTTTGACAGCGTCGCGGATTCTACACTAATACCATTCCTGTCTTCACAGAGGATGTGGAAGGCCTCCAGCACCTCGCGGGTCGATTTGTCTTCGTTTCTTCCTAAGATGTTGGTCTCGCCGAATAATGGTCTGCACGTGCACTCCCTAGAATGGATTGGAAGATTTCCGCCCACCGTAGGGGCCTTCAAGGAGTAATCATGCTCCCGGAGTCGGTCATTGAAGCATCTGCCCAATGACCAATGCTATATAGCTCTTGCCACACGAAAGTGGTAGGGCGTCGTATGATACCACTTTCGTGTGGCAAGAGCTACATAGGACCAACGGGCAGATGCCTCAATGACCGACTCTGAGAGCATGATTACTCCTTGAAGGCCCCCCTACGGTGGGCGGAAATCTTCCAATCCATTGTGGGGAATCACATTAAATCAAATAAATTGTGAAGCGCTTCGAAAAAATTAAGACGTTTACTAAATTATTGAATGATGCATAGTTTTATGGTCATTTTAAGAGTTCAAACCACGCTCACGTAATAACAATAAAATATTTTAGGGAAAGGTTAAAAACCTTAAGGTAAAAAGCGTCGGAAAGACGTCTTGGCGATCGCGGCTGAGTCCTAAATTTCCTCGACGTTAGCCCACAGCTAACGCTATTTGTAAGGTGTCGCAACTCTTGCCGGAAGTAGGCGACAAGGGAGTAGGTACGCCCGTCCTGGAGCTCAGTTACGCCTCTTGCAATGCCGATCCCTCGCCCAAGGAGAAGTTGGACGCTTCCTTCCAACAGCGCTACACCGCAGGTGGCTTCTTTGGTCCCGACGGGCACAAAGACAATCGACAGCGGCGGCAGATTTACGTGGCTGGTAAGGACTTGCACTGCAGCTAACGTTGTTTGGGGTCTTCCGCCGATGTAACAGGTTTCCGAAGCGTCATCTTGTTCTCCGCAAGGTTGATGATGACACCGTATTCACACTAGAAGTCCACCCCGGGAATGACGTCCCTCGAACAGTCTTGCAGAACGACGAACTTCACAGGGCAAGCTTCACCGTGGATCTCAACGCGGGCAGTGCACCTGCCGAAAGGTGTGATCAGATGTCCGCCGGCGGTTCGTATCTGCGGTCCGTCCCACAACGTCGTAACTTTCCAAAGGCGACGAGAGAGTCTCCCACTCAAAACGGAGTAGTCTGCTCCGCGGTGTCGACGAGTGCCGTCGCTTCGTGGCCGTCGATGATAACATTGAGGTTATTCGACACTGTTGCAGGGTTAAAGTGGAAGTGCTCCGACGATATTGGAGGATTTTGGCATCGTTCGTCTTCGGCAACACCACCTGCCGGCATTGCAGAGCCTAGTTTTCCCGATGGGAAGCGATGGGTGACAGGCTGTCTCGGCGAGACCGGCGGAAGAGCGATGGCGAGCGTCGGGGAGACGACTCAAGAGATGAAAAGCGGCAGAGGTAGTCCTCGATGTCCCGAGGTCGCTCTCCGAGACGTGGTCGAGGGTCGTTGGGCGCAAACCCTCGTAGGCCCAGCTGGCGGTAGGGGCATCGTCGGTAGATGCAGTCCGCTTCACCGCAGTGGTGGCACAGCGGGCGTCGATCGGCCGTTCGCCACACGTCGCTCTTCCTGGGCGCCGGTTGTTCTCGGTGAACCTGCGCCTGATCTTCCTGGCATGGGGGTACTGCGGCGTTGGGGCGTCTCTTCGGGGTGGCGCCGGGCTTTGACGGGAGCTTGCGGCGGTCGTCCCGGCCATGGCGGCGTAGCTCAACGTTGGTTCCTCCGGTGCCACCATGACCGTGGTGACGGGAACCTCTGGTTGGAGCGCCCGATGCACTTCTTCACGGACAGCCTCGGCGATGGAAAGGGTTGGCGGACGACTGGCTTTTGGCAGCAACCTTCGCAGTTCCTTCCGGACGACCTCCCGGATAATTTCCCGGATCTCCGGCGTACCCGGAGTCTTTTTGCCAGCCTACTTGATGCTATTAATAGCATCAAGTAGGTTTTAATACTGCAAAATACTTTTTAACACCAGAGTAACTTTTGAAAAGCATGCAATTGAAATATATAAGAAAATTGATCCTTTAAATGGATTTACTGCAGTGGCCGGCAGGATGTGAAATTTATTTCGAATTCTTTTTTCAAGATTAGAGACCCCGCACTCTATGGGGGTCATCGGTACAGGACGCCACACGCGTGGTACTGAAACAGTGTTTGTTCGAGGCTCTGGCTCAACAATGCAGCCTGACAGGAATGAAGGGGAAGCTACAAGTAGCCGTTGCAATACCATGTTACACTATATGCTTACTTGTATAAAGAAGATTTCTTAATATTTTGAAAAAACAGTCCTATACATGAGAAAATATGTGTGAATATGCAGCTGTTTAGATTAGCTGCTAGCTATTGAGATGAAGTTCAGTGTAATACGTACTTATTGCTAGTCATTTCTCATGCCTACTTCATCTTTCAGCCTAATATTTCTAACAAATTTTTCTGCATTAGTATTAATCTCAGGCACTGATATACTGTTAAAATCATGCATTGATACTAGGGGTGCTCAACAGTCACATCATAAAATTGAGTATCAAGACAACTCGGAGACAAGTAACATTGGACAGCTTCCATATGTGAAGTGTTTTCTACAGAGATTTGCAAAATCGGACATGCTTTGCATGTACATCAGATTTGGCACCTTTAGACACTTAGCCCCTTTTGAAAATTCCTAGTCTGTTAAACCGTTGAAGTCTGATGACCTACATTAACAAGTCGTTTCTGAGGGCAGACATAGGCCATCGAACTTTAGCCGTTTAGCAGATGTTCAAGAGCCTTCAAAAGTGAGTGAATTGGCACACTGCAGCGACAAAGTATGTGCAAAACGTGTTTAATTTTGCATGTCTGCATGCAGATGGCGCATAACATAAATAGCTTTCCAGAAAAAGTTGACATGATGTTTAGAGGTTTCTAAGATTGTCTGTTCTTGGTGATATTCTACGAGATCTTAGCATCCCAGAAATAAAAAAAAAATTATGCTCGTGCGATGTCTTTTTCCCTACTAAAAATATGTGATTGCAGTTCGTGCCACTCCCTTTTCTGAGCAGAAAAATCTAGAGCACAGAATTCAGCATTCGCAAGCGAAATCGCCGGGGGCGTATCTGCTGAGTTTTGTGCTTCCGATTTTTCCGCTCAGAAAGGGGCGTGGCACGAACTTCGATCACATTTTAGTAGGGAAATATACGTCACACAAGCATAATTTTTCGATTTCTGGGATGCTAAGATCTCGTAGATAGAGTTATCACCAAGAACAATCTCAGAAACGTCGTTAGTGCACCTTTAAGCATGTTACACTAACGTAGAAGAAATAACATCTGGCAAATGTTTCTGGTAACGTTAGTGCAATGTTTCATGGTATTATTCCAGTAAAATGGAATTTTTGGACATTTGCCACATGTATGCAATATTTCTTAAAGGGTTGTCCGGTCGAAACCGGAAGTACTTAAGTTCTTGCGCTCGTTAGGTCGAGGGAGCCTCCATGTAAACAAACGTCATTTTTATTTTGATATATGATCTCCCATTATTAATTAAACCTTTCATGAGCGTACGTACGAGACTGCACCCCGAATTTCGCCAGTGTCAATGGCTGACATCCGTAGGTGCTGCGTGACGTCACAAAACGCAAAGGTTTGTCGGATGGTCGGGATAACAAGCGTTGGTCGATGGTTGTTTTGTGTTTTGTTTCAAATTATATAGTCTCCTAGGCTGTACCATACTTGAATAGGGTTAAATATTCTTTTAATGCAATGTGAAAAAAAAGTCACACCTTTTAGCAGGGAACTACTGGCAGACAGCCATAAGCTTCGAGAAAACGTATGCCGTTTCGAGCAAACACAACTGCGACGGCCACCGATCGAACTAGGGGCGCTTGCAAAGCAGAGGATGCAGATTTCGCCTCTGAAGCGGCACCTAGGTACACGAAGCGGCATCTGGGTACACATGTCAGCGGATCCACTGCATCGGTGATGAGGCTGCGGGTCGTTCCCTCAGAGGGGATATCCGCGGGTCGAAGACAAACGGCGAATCGTTCAAATGCACGTCGCCACTTGACTTGCACGAGCTTGGTGAATCGTAGCCACGCTCCATTTTCACACGCGGGTCAAACAGGATCGGGGTGCACGCGTGCTAAATACAACTTCTGGTATCGTTTCCAGATGGCCTAGCTGTTGGTTTCGGTTTCACTGCATAATCAAATTGATTAATCCGATTTGGGCGAGGAGTGCATGGGCGTAGTTCAATATCGTTGGCACAGCATCACACCTCAGCTTACG